TTAGACTTTTGTGGGGGGAAAATATGAGACAATTAGAATTCTACAGGAATGTATAAAATACGTATAAAGCTGACTTTATTTAATTTGCTTCAACTATTCATAGACTTGAGGAAATTATAATGTTCTTTCAGAAAAAAATCTAACTTAATAAAGCTGACCATGTCTCTCTGTTTTAAATAGATTTTATTACAGGACCAGTGATGTTGTAAAACATGAGGTTTTGTTAAAAAAAATACAAAGGTCTAATTGTATTTTTTTAAAAGAAAGTATTACATCAGATGGTCTCATTTAAGCATATTTGCTGGCTCTGTGCTCTTACCACAATTATTGATTCTAATTTTTTTTCTTAAACTTACTTTTTTAAAAGGCTATTTATGGTAGAAAATTGCTGTGGCACTTCGAGGTGTTATATTTATTTCATTTATTTATTTGATAGTATGTCTTCTTGTTTCTAATGAAAAGACTTTATGCTTTCCTTTGTTCAAAATGGGGGCCTTTCTTTCTCTTACGGTATTTCAGTAACATAGCTTAATGTCATTCTTCATGGAAGTGAAAAACATAGCTATGGTTTGTTTCAATAATAGAATGCAAAACGCCCTGAAGAAAACAAATTCTCACCCTCAGTTTTTGCACACAAATTAAATCAAACTAATAGCTGTATGACCTACACTCATAAAAATCAACGAAAAGGCAAGCTCAAATTTCCCTGAAGCATTAAGTCAAAATTTCAAGTTTTTCAGATGAAGTTCTCTCTCTCGCTCCTTCTTTCTCCCTCCTTCTCTCTCCGTCCCTTCCTCCATTTCCCTCCCTCCCTCCTTCCCACTCCCTCCTCTCCCTCCTTCTCTCACACACACTCTCTCTCAAACACAGACAACCCCAGCAGTACAAAGACTACTAGAAAAAAAATCAGTAGTTGGCAGTAAATTCAGTTGAGTCTTAAAAAGAAATCAAGACCATGGGCAAAGGGGTTGGGTGGAGATGAGTATTAGAGATGAATTAAACATTTGAACAAAAATGTCTGCTTGCACTGAAGTGTACCAACAGATAAATGAGGAGACAAATGATTATGCACTGGGCAGCTAACCAAACGGCTGAAGGTTCGAGCTCATTCAGACACACTTCAGAAGAAAGGTCTGGTGAAATACCTCTGAAATAGAAAATATTGGAAACTCTAAGAATAAAAGTTCTACTTTGGTGTACATCAGGTCACCATGAGACAATGTTATGGACTAATTGTGTCCCACAAAATACAGGTCATTTTGGCTAAACTGTGTCCTCAGTGTTACATAATTGTCCTCCGTTTTGTGACTTGATATAATTATACTATGTAAAGGGAGCTCTGGTGGTCTAAGGGTAAGAAGCTGTGCTGCAATCCCAAAGGCACAGAATTCAAATCCACCAGATACTCCATGGATAACAATGAGCAGTCTCTTCCTGTGCAATTTATAGCCTCTGAAAATATACTAGCATATAAGCTATGAGTCAGTTCTGACTTTACTGCACACCTATGTTGTAAAGGAAGCTCAGGTGGCCTTGTGAGTAGGGAGTTGTGCTGCCAACCTAAAGGTAAGAGGTTCAAACTCACCAGCTGCTCATTGGGAGAAAGATTAACAATCTGCTCTCATGCAGTTTTATACCTTTTGAAAACCCATGGGAAGGTCCGATATTAATCAGTTCAGTGGTTTGAGTTCATGTGTTATAAACCCTCACCTCTATGATATTAATGAGGCTGGATTAGAGGCAGTTATGAAAATTATTAGGTTTTATTCTGAGGCAATCTCTTTTGAAATATAAAAGAATATAAAAGAGATTAAACAAGTGAATAGAGATTAAGGAATCAGCCCAGACCCAGAGGAAGACTGCTACCAAGACATACAGAGTTTTGAAGGTACACAAGGTCCACAGGTGCTGAAAGGAGACAAAGACCCTAAGTTCAAGCCAAAAGAAAGCGAAAGCCTTCCCTAAGAGTTAGTACCCCAAACTTGATTTTTATTTTTTTTAAAAGAAGCTTCACTGCAATCCCAGAGGCACAAGGTTCAAATCCACCAGCAACTCTGTGAGAGAAGAATAGGCAATTTCCTCTCGTGTGATTTACTGCCTCTAAAAACTTGCTGGAGAGTCACTATTAGGGGATGCTGACTCAACAGCACACAACAACAAACTGAAAGTTTCCGTTTGTTAGAAACACCTAATTGTGATTATTTCTGTTATAGCAGCAATAGGAAACTAAGTCTGAAATAGCCACAACTGAGGTTTGGTGGGTTGTTTTTTTAGTTTGGTTTTTGTTATTTTGTTTTGGTTTTCCCCCATATGGAAGAAAGGACACACATGGGAAGAAGCTGGAGTCTATTGTTACCAGGATGAAGAAGCATTCTACTGAGAACATCTGCCAGGAAGAATGTGACATCAAGATCAGAGGAAGACTCATCAATAACCTCCCTTGTGCAGATGACACACCTTGCTTGCTGAAAGTGAGTAGAACTTGAAGCCCTTGTTGCAGAAGATCAAAGAGTACAGCCTTCAGTATGGATTACATCTCAGTGCCAAGAAAACAAAATTTCTTACCACTGGTCTGATAAGCAACATCATGAACAACTTCATCTTACCTGGATTCACAATTAACACCCTTGATACCAGTAGTCAAAAAATCAGGCAACTCATTGCACTGGGAAAGTCTACAGTTAAGGACCTCTCCAAATTATTGAGGGGCATCGAAGCCAGTTTGAGGACTAAGATGTGTCTGATTCCAGCCATGGTCTTTCTGATCACTTGCTATGCGTCAAAGAGCTGGAGAATGAATAAGGATGACAAAAGAAAAATTGAGGTCTTTGAACTGTGGTGTTGGAGAAGAGTGCTGAACATCCCAACGGCTGCCAAAAGAACAGATAAATATGTCTTGAACAAAGTGCTGCCAGAGTACTCCTTGGAAGCAAAGATAATAAAGCTTTGCCTCACGTACTTCAGGAATATTGCTAGGATGTACTGTTCCTTGGAAAGGGACGTCAACGAAGGAGAGCAAGACCCTCAGCCAGATGGACTTACGTAGTGCCTGCGTCAGTGGGCTCTAGTGTGTCAGGAAATGTAAGGATGGCACAAGATAGAACAGATTCAGATCTGTTGTTCACAGGGTGACTGTGACTTATACTCAACTCAATGGCACTTAACAACAACCAAGAATAAAGGCAAAATAGCAGAATGGTCTATACTGTTTATGAACAACAAAAATATGACAACAGTAGAGATGATGAAACTCTGCTCTGTTGTTGCCATCGAGTTGACTATGATTCATAGTGACCTTATGCACAATAGCTCTGAACCTGCTCTATCCTGAGAAGATCTCACTGTCCTTGACCCACCTATCCTCAAAACTCTGCTTGATGAAAAGAAAATTCATTACATTCCTGGAATCAGCAGTGCTCCATAAACATTAATCAATTCCTTTCTCTTCTATTTTGAAGTCTCACTCACCCAGTGAGTTAACTCATCGTACATTAAAATATACACCAGTAAGCAAATGCCTCATCACCTCCCCTTGTCTCTGGAGTTCCAGGTGTAGCTTATTTATTTTACCTATAATAGTTCAGAGGCCACTAAAATATAATGAACTGTTTTCCTTTCCCTATCTTGGAAAAATAAAGAGCAATAGAATATGTGAAAGGATGAAAAACAAGTGTGGACAAAGGTATAAATAATTTGGAGGGACAATGAAAATGCTTATATAGTCCATTTAGGGAAAAGCAGTGGCTTATGAATGAGATGAGAGGAAAAACCAATTCTGATAGGCTTTCCCAGTAATTTATTTTCATTAACAGTGATGCAATTTAAAATAATCTGCAATGATATAACTTTGTAAAAGAAAATTAAATTATCAATAATATACATAATTTCCAATCATGGACGTATGATGACATATAAAAGTTTACTGAAAACAACACAGGCCAGGAAACCAACAGCAAGGTTTTCATTCCCAGCTTTGTTGGTGGGTACTTTTGATCTAAGCCAATCATTTAGCTCCTTTGTTTCTAATTTTTATCTATAAAATTATACGTCAGTGTGTATTTTCACCCAACAGCAACTTTCTATAAAATCAAGTTAAATTTCAAAATATTAATTCAAAGGAAAATATACACTATATTTTAGCTGTTGTGCTATCTTAGATGCCAGTACTTCCCAAAAACTCTCTACATAAAAAGAAATGATAAATATAACATGCTTGTTTACTTGAGATATTATGGAAAGTTAAAAATAAATGTACTATGATTTCAGGGGTTTTTTCCAAGTCTCAATGGGATGTTAATAATTTGATGTATTTATGTACCTCCAGTGTTTTTTCTTTAAACGTGTTGATCTTAAAACATAGAGCATAGAAAGATAATAAAACAGTGTTGTTGTTGTTGTTGTTGTTGTTATTGTTGTTGTTATGTGCCATCGAGTCATTTGTGGCTCATAGCAACCCCTTTGTACAACAGTCCTACGCCCTGATCTATCCTGTACCAATCTTATTGTCTCCAACATACCTATCCCCATTACCCCAGTCACTGAATCAATCCATCTCATCAAGGGTCTTCCTCTCTTGCACTGTCCCTCCACATTCCTAAGCAATACTTCCCTCTCCAAGGACAGGTCCCTCCTTGCAGTATGCCCAAAGTATATCAGATGAAGCCTCAGAATCCTTGCCTCCAAGGAGAAGCCTGGTCTCACCCTCTCCAGGATGAACTTGTTTGTTCTCCTAGCAGTCCATGCTATCTTCAGTACTCTTCAGCACCACAGCTCAAAGGCGTCAGTTCTCCAATAGGAAGGGCAAAAGTCTCATTATAAGGTATGGAGTGCAAAAATGCTAGAGAACTAATAAGGCAGAGGGCCTCAAGAATTGATCTCAAGAAGAGATGGTGTGTAAAATATAGGCTTGGGATAGTGGTACATTTTATAATAGAATTGGCTGAAATTGTGGTTATTGGCCAAAGGCTCTATCCTAATACAGCTCTTGTCTTCTCCTGCAGGAGGTGATAGAGGTTGTCAAGTCCGCAGATAGCCCCTTTCCAGGTCCTCTGGAAGAAGGAATTTCTTCTGATATTTACTCAGCATTCATCGTGCCACAACCACCATCAGATGCAGAAATGACAGTGCGCATCTTTTCCTTTTTATTCCCCTACTTCAGTCTCATTTCCTCAAAGGGCAGAGAGTGGGGATCAAATATCTTCCCAAGTGTTCTTGCTTTCTGATTTTCCATGAACAAGTATTTCTTTTAATACTTAGTTACAGATGGACAAGTTGAGAGGGTTTGATGATATTAGTCTCTTTCACTCCTTTCTGCCTAATTTCCACTTTTGGTGTTGTTATGTGCCATCCGGTTGCCTGCGGTTCATACAAAGCAAGCCTATGTACAACGGCTCTGAAACCTGCCCTATTCTGAGCCAGTCTCACTGACTCTCACACACTTACCCATTACCTCAGTCACTGTCAATTCATCTCATCCAGGGTCTTCATCTCCACTTTAACTCTCCTCAAAATAGGTACTGCCTTAGCAATGTGACTTGAGCTGTTAAAGCCCTAATGGGCAATCAGAATGCAAGGTAGCTTCAAAGTAAAACTTGTTCCAGATGAACCCAAAAATGTAGCCAACAGAAATCTGACATTAAATAAAAATCACTGAATGATCCACAACTCATCTGAGTGTTGTTTACATTCACCACACTAGGGATTGGATCCAAAACAAGGTCCTGAGGAGACCCACGGAGAAGATGTATCAGAAGTGGATGCTTTAGTTGGTTTGACCATTGAAGATATAAAATCAGTGCTGGATCAAGTAACAGATGACATTCTAATCACCATTCAGGTACTCAATTTTTATTGTATACTCTCTTATTACTAGTTAATGAATCAACCTCAACCTTAATGCCTGAAAACACTACACATGCTCTAACAGCAAGTGTGATGTTTACAATGAAGGAGTTCAATTTAATGTCTTGACATAACTTTCAACTGAGTCATCTGAGATTAATAAAATCATAAAATAGATTTGCCAAGAGCATTTAATGTGGTGCTTGTTATCAGTTTACAAAATCATGCTTCATTGAAACTAAAAAAAAAAAAAAAAGAAGAAACAGTGAAACTCTGAGCTTTGTTACACTGTAAACATGGCTCATGCAGAAGGAATCTGGATACATTTGTGAGCAGTAAACCTGAAGATCAAACCATGATCCTCAGCTGAATCTTCTCACACCAAACTTCTAAAGAGAGACATTCTAGTCATTAAACTCCTTTTTAGATGCCTTGTTCTCTGTACACATTATTTGTAGCTAAGTAAAGCATACCAGTGGCTGCAAAAACTGATTGTAGTAGCTGCCAGTGACCAACCAATTTAGCTTGATGCTGAATCTTTTTTTCATTCTGTAAGGAAAAAAGAAATAAAATGTTTCTACCTCAAACCCAAAAATTCTGCAAGAAATCACATCATTTTATACATTTTATAGGCAAAAATTACTAAATAAGTGGGTTACATATTTTGAGTAAATGTCTCTCTTATTTTGAAGAGTGCCATGAATAAGGCAACATATTGCATATTTAAAATCCTAGCGCCTCTCATGGTACAATGGAGTTATTAACTGAACATGGAACGAGAGAGGGGGGGGAGAGAAAGAGAGAGAGAGAGAGAGAGAGAGAAAAGATAGTTAAGAGAGAGACGAAATAGTAACAACTAATGGAGAAAGAGCAAAAGATTAGCTTGGCATGAGCATACCTTGTTACTTGTTTAATCACCAAATGTTATTGCAGTATTTACATGAACATTTAATGATTTGGTGCCAACAGAACCAGCCAAAGTCCTTAGCTTAATAAGGGGTGTTTAGTGTTTACCAGAAATAGTGGAAGAACACGTTTTACACAAAGCTTTATTGTTAACAACCCCATGAATGTAATAACTGGTTACTGTGTGGAAGGGCAGAGTGCAGCTGAATTAAGCTGAGCTCGGAACGTATCTCCTTTTTAGATTTGATAACATTTAATCTAAATATAGTTTGTGTATAATCATGGCCCTGGGCTTCTCGCGATCCTGTGACGCTGAAATCATTGCCGAGGAGCTGCTAGACAGTAATGGAATTGTTTGCAGGCCCAAAAAATTGAAAACATCTTTAGCAAGGCTGAGTTCCATATACCAAGCAGTATGTTTTTCTTAACTATTCATTGCACTTTTTCTCCCCAGTATTAGAGACCACAGCTTTTCTACCTTTACTACATAGGAAATAGAATTATTGCTCTGTGTGTGTTATCATCCTATTGGCCTGAAGCAATTGTTCCCTGGCCTAGAAGTTCATTAGCTTGCTCATCTAAATGTAATTAGGCATAGGAAGAACTTGGACCAGAGGTGAGGGATGGGGATCTTTTAGGTGCCATGGTCATTTCCATATTAAGTGGATTCTCAGACATCAGTGTGGACCACATGACTGCCAAGTTTTCAATAAAATGGTATCATGATGTGAATTTATACATTGTCTGAAGATAGAAAAGCCCTTTATCTTATACCAGTAATCTTAGCACACAGTACCTTTGATAAATAAATTGAAAAATGAGACACCGAAAGACTAAGTCATTTGTCTAGAGTTTCCAGGGTCGGAAGCTGATGAAAGACCCTAAATAGGAGCTGGGAACTGGGCGGTAGTCCTAATTCCAGTGTTATCCACAAAAACCACATAACCTCTAATATCACGACCAAACTACTTTGGGTTTTAATACTCTCATGGCACAGCACTTTTTCAGTGTTTACTCTTGTGTCTTGGTCATATTCCAGGTTGAGTAATTACCTAAATTGCTTACCTAAATTTCTCCTTCTGTTTTAGATGGCTAAGTTGTGTTCCATTTCTAAAACCTGCCTTCCAGTCTCCCTGGCCTTAATCACTGCCACGTCCCCGTGGTCAGTGTCTTCTGAATATACGAATCAGCATTCCTGAGTGTAGCACAGTTTAATAACTTATTATTAATGTCTAAAAATTGACTATAGTTTTTCTCCTTTCCTAAAAAATTTACTATAGTTCCTGTAATTTTTAGAGGAAAAGATGATAGAGAATCCATGCTTTAAGCATAACCTTTTCAAAGGTCCTTTTTGCATTGCTTACAGGCATATTTTACTTTATATAACTCAGAATTTCTGGAATTAGAGTATGCATCCTTAATTTTTGTAATGTGCTGGTAAGTCAGAATGGTTTCCCATTGGTTCAGTTTATAGTTTTAGAGCTTTATTAAGAATGAAGTTATCTTGGCCCTGAGATGTCAATTAAAATTATACTGAATAGAGCAAACTTTTTAAACCTATACAATTAAGGCATTTTCATTTTAAATATATATTCAAAATGAAGTTATTTTGGCCCTGACTTGTATAATAAAAATTATACCCAGTAGAGCAAACTTTAATATAGTTAAAGAATTACATTTCAGAGAAATATGAATGCTAATGGTAAATTCTTGGATTAAATGTTAGCTGTAGGACCTGTCTGAACAATATGATAAAATAATGGGAAAGCTTTAAAATGTTTGCCATTTCAAAACTTTGAGAATTTTTAGGTCAGTATTAATGTAGAGAAAGTTATACAAGTATTCAGGTCTTTCATTCATAGAGTCTCTATGAGTCATCTATGACTCTACGGCACTTAACAACAACAACATGAGTATTCTAGGTTAAAATGAGCATGAGATCATTTCAAGGTCATGTCCAATGACAAATTCAAAGTAGTCGTCAATGTTAAAACCAGGTTGTAGGGCTTCCACTCTTTCTTGAAAGGAAACAAAACCCACTTCCAGTCCTAGTGGTTGTAGTATAGCGTTTGTGCTCTGCAGTGTTCTGGAGAATTTGAGAAAGCATTGCAGAGAAGCCAGTTCATGACCAATAGTCTTTTGGTCTAAACTCTGCTGGCTATGTCTAGTCTGAAATACTGAGTGTTAAAATTCAAAGATTATTTTCCTCTTCTAGTATACCACTCTATCAGGCATGCACCTTTCCTTGATGATCCTCTCCCCAAGGTCCACACTTAATTTAGGTAAAGTTTGGTGAGATGCCATCAAGTTGATTACAACCCTTGGCAACCCTGTGAACAAAAGATCTGAATCTTGCCCCATCCTGCATACTCAGATGATTTCTATTGGCTCTAAGTGTTCGTCTAAACACTAGAAATAGATTCTAGTTGAATAAAAAAACCTAGTGAGTTGGCCATAGTTCCTTAGTTGAAAATAAATTTGACTGACTGTTGATCAAATGGAAACTGAGTGATGTGGCTGAACTCTGCAAGTTGGGCATTCTTCTTTTAAAAAAAAATTTATTGATTTTAATGAACATTTACAGAGATTTTGGATTTCTATTCATTTACTGTTGCATTTTTCTCCCTGCCCCCTCCCCCCCAAGTTTTCTCTTCTCTTTGAAAAGTAAAAGAAAAATTCCTTCATTGGTATACAGTTCCCCCACCCCATAGTACACTCCATTATGTAACCTTCATTCTGGACTCTTGTCATAACCATAATACCCAATCATATATTGCTTTTAAACTGTTCTTTCGCACATCTGTTTTGATGCAGTATACGTAATTTTTGTTGAGGGTCATGTGGAATGTTTGGTTGGTTTTTATTTAAGCCTCTTATTTAAAGTCAGCAAGACCTGTGGAGGGCCCTGTATTTAAAGCCAGGCCCTTGTCTCCACTTTGGAGACTTGGACTCTGTAAGCTGGGTCCTCTTGCTCTTGTTTTGGTTGAAGGTCGCTCTTGTTTTAGTTGAGGATTGTGTGGAATATTTGGTTGTTTTTTAGTTAAGCCTCTTGTTTAGAGTCAACAAGACCTCCTGGAGAGTCCTTGTTTTTAAAAGTTGGTTGGGCCCTAGGGCCTAAGCCCACAGACCTCTTGTTACTATATTTTGGAAGAACATTCTTCTAAGTTGTACAACACCCCTCTGTCAATTTGATGTACTGAGATAATCTGGGTTTGTTGTGATGCTGAACTTTGTGCCATTGGGGGATCAAATGCCATAACGGTTGCCCATGGTGGACAGTGTTTTGATGGAGCTCCCAGCTTAAAACAGGTTTGGCTACAGGAGTGGAATTGACTTCCTAAACAACATGCCTCTGGAAACTCTATGAACTTGGAGAAATGGCAATAGTTACAGAAAGGCTTTAGGTGTTTTGTTCCTAGGGTCACTATGAGTTGTGCTTGACTCAACAACAATCAACAACAACAATGGTCAAATGGAAGAACATGTATTGAAAGTGTAAAGAATCAACTTATGACTTCCAACAATGCTTTCGAGTCCTTTGGAATAATGGAAATAATATATATTCAAATAATTGCAAACTATATATAATCCAACATGTTCTAGACTTTGAAATTATTTTCAAGACATAAGTCAACATATTTTTAAAGAGTCCATGATATCCTATCAAATATATATGATACTAGTGAAGTACACCACTGGGAAGTTGAAATTATTTTAAAATAGGAAGTTGAAATTATTTTAAAAGTGAGAGAGTGTGTTTCATGTTATCTAGATTTCCTGTTTCATTTGTCAGATAAGAACTAATGTTAAGTGACTTACCCAAGACTGCGAACCTAAATTAAAATCATAATTTTATATTCTTAAGCCAGGGACATTTTTATTTCACCAAAACCATTGCATGAAGATATTCTTGATTCCAGGAAAGATTCCCAGGAAGGGAGATCTCATAGCATTGGCATAGCTGGTAAGGATTTCACTGTCAACCCAAAAGTGGTTCATCTCCTGGTGGTTTAAATCCACCAGCCACTATTGGAAGTAAGATAGGCAATCTCCTCCCATGAGACTGATAGCCTCCAAAAACCCACTAGA